GGGAAACACGCGCAATGCGCGTGCACGAAAACTAGTTGATTATAAAACACATGGCTAAGATCTTTCTCCACTCCTGATAATCAAAAAATATCATTGGAACAGTTGGTCTAACCTTTGTTTCCCCAATGAGGTAGGTGGTGTGGCTATCAGAAGTTCACATGATATTGTTGATACACCAGCTATTAGGGCTGAACCTTTAAAGGCTACTGCTCTGGAATGCACATTGTCCAAAAAAGGTGTGAGGGTCGAGCCTAACCATCGAATTTTTTGGTTATTTGGTATTTGATAATTCGGTATTTGGTATGATATTCGGGAGTAAAATTTTAGATTTATGGTATTTGGGTTTGGATTTGGTATGAGACATTAGTACCATTATTACCCAAGTGATAGATTATAATTATAAACAATACATAACAATTAACATTTGAGAAAAGTAAATTCAATCTCAAGAAATAAGATTGATATAAATGCTTATGAAAATCTTAGTAGCTCAGTTAGTTGGCTACCTGAACTTTCACCTTATTGGTGAACGTTCGATTCCCTACTTTATATCCCCTTCCCCTAAAAATAAGAAGAAGAAAAATACAAATGCTTATACAACAACTCGATAAATCAATCAAGCTATTATCTCATTTATCTTACACTCTCTATATTTGATATCAGCCTTATTTGATCCTGCCTCATGGATTATATCACAACATTCACATTTATCGATCTGAAAAAACAAAAACACAGACAAAGAGAAGGTTAATAAATATTTAGATGTCGGATTAGATATTTGTTGACTTACAATATATTAGTGGAGCTTCAAATATTAAGTTCATTCATGACGTTATATACATGAGTATATGTGAAGAAAACAAAGAAAAAAAGAGCAAGTTAAAGAAAGAAATACTTTCCTCAAAATTATGTGCAAACCACTTACATTATATACTAGTGTTCACGTGCGTTGTACGTGTATTCGATCACATGTTAATTAATTGGTATAATTATTTTTAAAATTAAACAAAACATCACTAAAACATTCATGTGAGCCGTGAGGTATAAATTAAAATTAAAAGGAAAGAAGTAAAATTATATATATATGTATATGTATTGAAATTTTTTAATTGTTTTAAAAAATTGTGAAGATATTAGACATATGAACACTTGACTAAGTTCTTTGAAATTGGTCGTGCAAAGTTAAAATTCTAAAAGCTTGAGTTTTGTATTTATGAGTTTCGAATTTTAAAAAAGACAGTTTATTGGTTTTAAATAAATTATATTATACATAGTAAGTAATTTTGTAATACAAACACAAGGTTTTGAGAGAAAATTATTGGACATAGAAAACATTACCCGGATACGTTTGGTTGTTGACGAGTAAACATGAATTTTAGAAACATACTCTGCAGAAAAATTTCCAGAAGATAAACAAGCTCCAATCCCTCGAGGCCATCCTCTAGTATACGTAGTAAGAATTTCACCTCTTTGAGTTTTCTTAACGGACTTGAAGAAAAATACATGAGGAGCTTCACAAGGATCCCAAGAAGGACTTCTAACATCAAACATGTAATATGGTGGATTAGGACTTGGTTGCCATGTTTTAAACGTTTCAATTGGCCTTTGTATCCAACTTCTAGGCATAATTTTCTCATAAATATGAGCTGAGTATCCCCAAGAAACTGAAAATGTCCAACTTTTAGACCTATGGTGGCATATAGTTTGTTGTAACATGCGCGATTGATCATATTTTGCAACTTTTTGGAGGTGGAACACTGATTTTACACGATCCATAGAAGGAAAAATTGGATCAACCATGTCAAAATGATGAAGGGACATTAATAGAGACTTTGGATGATACGATAGAAATCCAGATATGTCACCACGAAGATCAATCTACAAGTCATCAATATTAAAGTTTTTAGTATATATTAAGGGAAAAGAGAAAAGTAGATTCATAGTATAGTCACAATGGTGACTTTTTTTTTCTTTAATACCGTTAGCGTATATATGTCAGATACCTGATGAATACCCTGAAGAGGAGAGAGATTGACTCCAATATCAGCTATACAATTCATTGTTGTTCTATCAGCAGATGTCAAGTGTGCATATCTCTTTAAGCAAGACATAACATTTTTTGCAAATTCTTTAGCCAAAGGATAACTCATTATAATTCCAGCTCCACCAAAAGCTTGATTAAATGAGTACCAATAATTTGACAATATAAATTCTGAATGTCCTCCAAAATAATAATGTTTTGTATGATCATATTGTGCAAGAATATCAACCATATTATCCACAAAAAATATTGAATCATCGTCCCCCATAATTATCCATCTTACCCCTTCATGTACCTCCCTAACTACCTCCATAATCCCATGAACCATTCTTAAAACTCTTGGCTCAACATGATGTGTTTCCTTAAGAAGTTTTGAGACATTATCGGATATTCGATAAGGAGGTGAATTTAAGGACCATGGGAGAAGATCATTACCTTGAGGAGGAACATCTAGTAAAAGATGTCCTTTTGTAACATTTGGTCTCCACCATGATTCAATATATGATTTTCTATGGTGCCATGCTTTTTGTGACCCTAAAAGTCCAAAAATAATGTGACTAATGTTGGTGGATGATATACTTGTTGTTTGAGTAGTAGATGGACATGATATTGTGGATTTCAAAGAAGAGAAAAAATCAGAAGATGCAAAATGATTAGAGTCATTGAAAAAGAAAATGGTGCACAAGTATAGGACTAGACCACAAATTAGTAATGTTTTGCAAATGCTAAGGACATAATAGTTCTCAAATTTAGACATTTTAGAGATATTTGGGTAGTGAGAATTAGTGACATGAAAACAAATGAACCAATGCTAGCTCACATCCCCCACTCCACCACAATTTGTCTCATTGCTTTCTACTAATTCTTTGAGTTAAATTTTGTTGTATTTTCGAAAGGTAAAGTTGGGATAAATTGGCAAGATTTACTTTCTAGAACGTTAATATAAAATATTGTTACTTAATATGGAGAAAATATAGCTTCAAACACAATCATTATACTTTGCTCCGATTATCACAAAACTCTACAATACAAATATCAAAAACTCGAAACTTCATGATATTATCCTTGAGTTCAAAAGTAGTAGTATGTGTGACATAACAATATTTTTCGCATTATTTGATGTATCTATTTTAAAATTTTATATATTTTAATCAAAAAATTGCTTATGGTAATTCCCGATATTATACATAATACATAGTATATATTTTTTCTCCATATTTCATTTTTTTTTTTTACTTATATCTTCGAATATAATTAATATGTTGGAACTTTGATAAATAGACTAACAAATTAGGTCAGCGTATACATACATCTCCTTGTCAAAATTAAATGTGTATATTAAGATATCATATAGTGCTTTTTGACTCATGCAATTATTATCTTTATAATTTACAAGTCAAACTTTGTCTCTTTAAGTTCACAATAAGGAATTTATTAGGATTTCAATCTTTTTAAGTTATCTTCCAAATCCCGTTCTTAAAGAGGCAGTCATCTTTGTACAACATAAAATAATATTTAATAGGGAAATAGCTTCAACGTTACTATTATCTTTGGATTAAAATGTAATTCAAAATTCAATTACATGCAAATTTAATATTATATTTCAAAATCATTGCTTGGGAGGGTGATGCACTAAAAATTACACCTCACAAGTGATATAACGCAATGGTAATATACAAACATAGCAATTCAATTAGGTTAGGATTGAATGGCATACAAATACCTTCCGTACAAGTATTTTTTGATGAAAAATATAATATTCTTTTTTACCTTATTTAACGTGGGATTGTTGTAATATTGAGAAATTGAATAGTTTTAAGGAAAAATTACAGAAATCCCACCTTTTAGTTTACTTATTACCATTATCCCCTATAAGTTTTACAAATTTTCAAAATCCCTCATTTTAGTTTTAATTAGGTAACTGTAGTATCCTTTCTTACCCGACCCCCTATTTTGTTGTCTCATTATTTATATTCTGATTACTAATATGAACACACATTATTATTCCTATATTTCCTTTGTTATCCTTCCGATCCCTTTGTTTTTTGTTTCTTTTTTTTCATTTTTAACCCTTCCCAAGAGCTCCCACTCTTTTAGATTCTTTGGTGACTCGAATTTAGAATTTTAGGGTTAGAAGTGAGGGGTGTTTACCATTCAAACATTCTTTTATTATTGAATATTCTTAAGTCTCTCATTGGTCAAACCTTTTGCATTATGCAAAATCTATTGTTATTTGTTTTCAAAAATATCACATCTGTTTTTTGATGTCTTCTGTAAATTTCAAGCATTGCAACAAGTTATCATTATATTGAAGCAACATAACACTATTTCAATATCATTATATCAACTTATCAGATTTAACACAATATTATTTCGATATCGCTATTTGAATATATCAAATGCAGGATCCAAATTTTATTATTCTAATTTTATATTATATTTTTCATTTAAAATATGCATTGTTTATATTCTTACTTCATATGTTTGTGTACATCCTACTCACCACATACCTCACTTGTAGAATTACAATACGTGTGTTATTATTGTTATTGTCATTCAATTTATGAAAAAAAAAAAATTGACTTTAGGCCTTCAATCTTGTTGAGAAGTGAGGGGGTGGAGGGTGCTTACTGTCCAAGCAACACACTCTTATCACTTTGTTTGATATGTTATACAAAATCATAATAAAGAAAAATAATAATTTTATTAGGTATCAAAAAAATTATAAAAAAACAAATTTAATAATTAAAACTTAGTAAGAGTAAGACCACTAGGGTTCAAGGATGGAGCTACGATGGTGTCAGGATGTCCAATTGGATACCCTTCGTCGAAAAATTACACTATATGTAGTTCAAATTTTACTTTATATTGGTATATATATTACTTTGGACATCCTTTCAACCGAGTGATTGTAGTAGTAGTACAGTGGAAATAAAAAAATTGGATACCCTTTATAAAATTTCTGCCTACACCACTAATAGGTTTACGACCCATTTCAGCCCAATCAATTTCAGTTCAAGTAACTTTTAATTGGTCAATAATCTGTCTATTTGTTAACTCAACCTATTTTAACTAATTTAAATTCAATTTGAACCTTCCATTTAACAAACAAAGGGATCCACAAAGAATCATGGTAGCTGGCTTAAGCACCTATTAAAATTATAGGGGGTTTGGATTGGCTTAAAAGTTGGTCAAACCTAATTTTAAGTCAGTTTTTGACTTCTGGAAGTGTTTGGCAAATATAAAAAATAACTTAAAATAAGTCAAAAGTGACTTAAAATAAGTTACGAAGTGTTTGGCAAGGTAAAAGAAATGACTTAAAATAAGTCAAAAATGACTTAAAATAAGTCAGAAACCAAAAGTAGGTCTCCCCCTACTTTTTATTTTTTGACTTAAAAGTCATTTTAGTTTGACTTTTTATTTTTAACTTAAAAGATACTTTTTTTAAGTCAATCCAAACGGACTCTTAATCTAAATATGTACAACTTTTTTTAAGTCAATCCAAACGGGCTCTTAATCTAAATATGTACCCTACATAGATAGTAGTATTGACTACCTGTCGATATATTATTCTCTTGTAATAATTGTAATTATCCTTGAGTTAAAAATATAATTACTCTATGATCCATCCTATGATATCTTGACATTTGAAATTTAAACCTACAATTATCCTCACATGCATCATATTTTCAACAATCAAACTCTTACCCTAGCTGGGTGTGGCCTAATGGTCAATGAAGTGGTTGAAAATTCTAACATCTCAAATTTAAAACTCGAAAGAAACAAACACGCTAGGTGATTCTTCCTATTTGTCAAATATCTCATGAAATTAGTCAAGATACTTGAATGCTAATCTGAACATCACGATCATAAAAAATAAAAAAAACTCTTCATTAATCTAATAATCTAGACCAAAAAATAGAAGGAACTCCTAAATGCACTTGACTTGTGACCTACACAATGATAAGTCCATATGTACTAAGAAATTAATATAACCACTTGTGCCGCCACAAATTTAATGTACCAATAATTCTGCTATTTCCAATTACTAATTACTTCTCCGTCTAATAAAAGTTGTTCATTATTGACTTGACACAAAATTAAAAGCAGTAAATGATAGAGGTAATTTACCAAATCACCCTTATTAATTGGGTGAAGTTTTTGGTGAAGTTTCACCATGTGTTTGGCCCCAAATTTTCCCAAATATATTTGACTATTTTAAAAAATATGATTTATACCCATAAGTTCTAAAAATTATTAGAAATACCCATAAATTTATATTATCATTTTATAATGAATACATTCCGTTAAAAAATAACCTTATAACATAATTGATAACGATCAACAATAACAAAATAACAATATAGGCAAGACAATACATTAATCGCATACTCAAGCTTGTCATGGATTCAGTTATGATTATAACTCATTAAACATAAATTGTTCCTTTTTCTCAATTTTATCACTCAAATTAGAACTCAAGCTTTTTCGGGGACAGTAGTAACAAATATTAGTTGGAATTAATAAATAATGAGTATTTTTTATAAAATATAAAAGTTATGGGTAATTTTTGAATTTTTTAAAATTCCCAAATATTAGAACTTGGCCCAAATACTAGTTTTTTCTAGTATTTGAAAACTTGGGGTACTTGGCAAATATATTTGCCAAGTTATATAACCAAACATGCACCACTTTCTAAGTTTTTCCCAAATTTTTCCCTAGTATTCTTGGGGTCAAACGGTTCATATAAGTCATCTAAACATTGAAAAATGAATAGTAAGGGTTAAGTAGACACAACATTTATAGTAAATTATCTATTGATTTTATAAGTTCGACAACAGACCAAGTATTATTAGACATTTCAAAATAGTATAGTGGACAAGTAACGATGAATAGGTGAGTAATATTTTCATTCACAAATCTATAATATAAAACAGCTTTTCTCACTATAGAAGGATTCAAATTAAATGGAGTATAATAAGGAAAAAGGTGAAAATAAAAATCATATTTTAAATACCTAAACATGTGAAGTACCTAATTGTCCTGCTTTTAATTTCACATTATGTGTTAATATTGGCACTATTATTTAAGTTTTGTTCCCTTTTTTAAAAGTGATGCAATTATAAAGCAAACTAAATTCTTTGATTTTTACGTTTTTCATTTCCTCTTTCCTTCCGATGCAATTTTTTATTCATTCTTTTCAATATCCTTTTCCGTAGGATATATGAATTGCACAAAGTTTTGTATAATATTAACTGCATAATACACAAATATGTTTTTTAATTTGGTTTCAGATGACATTCATATCTTTAACTTTGGAATGTGTGC